GGACGCGCGAGGAAGGCGGGCGTCCAGCCGGGCATGGTCGTCAAGAGCATCAACGGGAAGGCGCCTGGCTCGCGCCAGGGGGGGCGCCCACGGGGAGGCCCCCCTCCCTACGATGGCCCAACCTACTTTAGCCTTGATCATCAGAAAAAATGTCGAGCACAGGTACAAAATACCGAAAGTCGAGGGTTTTCACGTGTCGGGCCCTGGGAGACACTCGTCAGACACTGTTTCGACACTCTTTTGACACTTTTCCGGGTTCTCGAACTTATTTTTGGGATGTGGTCCTTTAAGTACGATGGGAGCAGCATAACCCCCTCCACGCAGGGCTCGTCTCGTCAAGCAGCGGGGAAGAGTCCTGGCCTGCCAATGGGCCCACGAAGAGGTGTACCGAGAACCTCTCCTCGTCTGCAGGACGCGTTTTCAGAACATCTCTGGCCGAGACGGTGTTACTTTCATGCATTTCTGAGAGCACTGCTTTCGCTATGAGCGCCTTGTCGTGTTGTACGATCTCGTCGTCGTATGCCTATAGGAGCCGGGGCGGTCGGCCCCCTCTCGGTGTCAAGTTCGGCCGATCCGACTCGATGACGGATCCGGCCGGCTCGGTCCAGGTCGGGCCCGAGATGCTGCCCGATGCTTGTGCGTCGCTGTTGCGCAGCCTGGCGCGGCCGATCGCGGGGTCTGAGAAAGAGGCGGGAAGCCGATGCGGAAAGATGCCGAGAAGCCTCCAGGGCAGGAGAAGGAGGAGAAGGAGGAGGAGGAGGAGGAAGAGGAGGAGGAGGTCGAGGACGACGGTGAGGCGGAGACTCTCCATGGGGGGTCCTTGTGGCCACGGCTGGACGCAGCCCGAAAAAGTGGTCAGGGTGGCGGCTGGGATGCCTGGGCACTGGTGCTGGGCGAGAGCGGATCGGCGGGAGTCACTTCCACGCTGCATCCTCGCAGGAAGGACGTCACCACCACCAGATGGCCACCTTCAGCGAGGAGATTCACGATGGCATCCCCGAGCTGGAGGATGGGAGTGTCTCGAGCGGGACGCCGCGAAAGAAGGGGGCCACTCCACCTGGAGGACCCTCCCCGGCTCCTCGCGATGGAAGTTTCTCGGACCGCAGCCAATGCCTCCTGGCGGACCTGGGCAGGGCCCGTGTCGGTTCGATCGACCGATTTGATACCGATTCCGGCCGGCCTCATTCAATTCGATTCCGATATTCCAGCGATCCGATGCGGCCCAATGCGATTCGACTCCGACTCCGTGCCGACGCAGCTCGAGCCGACGCACCTTCGGTTAAGTCGGGCCTGTCCCTCTACAGGGGGAATATTCAGAAATAGTATAAGAATATTATGGGGCAGATTTTTTGACAATGTTTGAGTATTTGTGGGGTATTCGTGGGGTATTTTGAATTTGTCGTCCAAAATCCGCGTGTAGGGGGACACGCCCGAACTAATTTTAGAATGCATGATCGTGCGCTAGCGTCTGATAATCGATGAGCAAGCGCAGATTTAGAGTCGATGCAGCGTCGATGTAGCGTCGATTTGGCGTCGATTCGCGTCGGCAAGCTTCGGTTAGCGTCGACTCGCCAGAGCCAGCAAGATGAGCTGCCACAGAAGATTCTCCCGACCCGGTGCTGACTGATCCTGCCCGGGTTTGGGGGCCAGCGGAGCGACTCTGGGCCTCCCAGCTGGGGTCCAAAGTAGATGGGGTCGGAGGATCGCGCCGCATCGCCCATGCATCGACGTTGCGGCTCGATGTGGGGCCCGATGCCGACGTCGCCGATGCATCGCCGACGTCGTCGATGCACCGCCAGTGCATCGTCGATGCATCGCCGATGCACCGCTGATGTATCATCGATGCGGCGCCATCCTCCGACATCATCTACTCCGGCCCCATCTGGGAGGCCTCTGGCGACGAAGAAAAACGGGCCCAACTGCGCCGGCATTCGCGCGCAAGCTGCCCGCGCGGTGCGCCGCGCGGGGGCGGCCCGCACCGGCTGCGGCGCCAGGTCGCCTAATATGCCGTCTCGGGCGAGACCCGCTTCTAGTCTCAAGTCGGGCCTGTCCCTCTACTGGAGGGAGATTCAACAATAGTCAACAGATAATCTGGGGACGATTTTTGTTCTGCACCTGCACCCCAGAGGTCCCCCGCGCCTGCACCCCGGAGGTCCCCCGTGCCTGCTCGGCAGCGCCGACACGGCACTGCCGCTGCCGCCTGCTCCGCCTCCTCTGTTCTCCCACGGCGCGCCCCCTGCTCCTCGCCCCTGTGGCGCTTCCAGGCCCTCCTCCCCCTCCTCCCCCTCCGCCTCCTTCTCCTCCTCCTCCTCCTCCTCCTCCTCCTCCTCCTCCTCCTCCTCCTCCTCCTAGGTTCCGTCCCTGCGCTGGCCCCCCCTTCCCGCGGAGTCTCGTACGAGGAGCGCGGGCCGCGATGGGGGCTGCCGCACCCGCAGGGGCATGAGGGCTGCCAGAGTGCCGCCCCTCGCGCGGAGGAGGGGCAGGGGGCGCTCCCTGTGCTCTGGCTGCAGGCACTGCTGCTACTGGGAGGGGTGCGCCCAGGCGAGGGACGCTTCACGTTCCTCTCAGTGTGGAACCCACAGAACCTGCTGTCGCCCGCCCGCTTGGACGAGGTGTCGCGGGCACTGGCTGGCGTGGGAATTGTTGGCCTCCCAGGCACGTGCGTGCGCCAGTGGTGGAACGAGCCTCACCACAAGGCGACGTCGGTGGCCCACCACGTGGTGCATTTCGGGTGGCAGCGCTCCAGGCTCGTAAACAAGAGCTGCGGATGTGCGCTGATGCTGGCCAAGAAGTACTTCGGAGTGAACGATATCCGACGGCTGGTCACCCCGCCCGTGGGCCTTCGAGGACGAGGCGGACTGGCCTACCTAGCCTCTGGCCCGCTGCTCCTCGCCGTGTTCGTGCTCTACTTCCCCCCGCGGCCCGCGGCCAAGGGGGAGGCGCCCATCTGGCGCGACACCTGCCGTGCACTGGTGGCCTGGGCGCGGGACGAGCTCCTGCGAGTGCCTCAGCGGTATACCCCTGTGTTGCTCATGGGCCTGAACTCGGGCCTGACCCAGCACTTCGACGAGGACCCCGTGGTCGGCCAGTTCGGTGCAGCGACAGAGAGCTATGCTGGCAAGCTGGTCCATGAGTGGCTAGCGGGGGCACGTATGCAGGCGATCAACACCACGCATCGGGTTGGCAACACTTTCTTCGGCATGGGCGGAGCGTCCTCCCAGATCGACTACATCTGTGCACCCCAGAGTGCTGGAGTGTCAGTGGAGTGGGCGAAGGCGTGGCACCGTACGGCCGAGGCTGCGCGAGCGTCTCCCGCGATCCTCGATCACGTCCCCGTGGTTGCCAAGATTCGGATTGTGCCGCCCTTGAACCAGCTGCCGCTGCGAGAGCGCTGGGACCGCCCGCGCTTGTCAGGAACAGTCTTGTCGGGTAGAGGCTTTCCTGGAGATTGGTCCGTCGCTCGACGTGCTGGAGACGAGGGAGGCGACTACTGGCCACGCCACGCTGGTCATGGGCACTATTCGCAAGATCGGGCTGGCGCACTTCTCCCAGGCCACGGTGCGCCCAATGTACGAGAAGAAGTTGGACGAGAAGAAGTGGCAGCTGCTCCGTGAGAGGCGTACCATCCTGGAGGAGGTGAAGGCGCAGGAGTTTGAGGCCATGCAGCGCTGCTACGAGACGCCTTCTTCTCCAGCGACCTTGCCGTCGGCTACGGGCCCTACAGGCTGCCTTTCCTCCTCCCCACCTTGCGCTGGATCTGTCGAATCACTCGTATCAGAACGCAACACGCTGAGCGGAGGCTCAGGTGTTTATCCTCGTCGTGGTGCCGAAGAGCCAGTCCTGCCGCGCGAGAGGGCCGCCGAGGTTCGGACGCTCGGCAGCGCGATCAGGAGCTACACGAAGGCCCTTCAGCATTGGCGACGCCGCAGAGCTCACGAGCGCCAGAAGTTCACAGAGGACGAACTCCGACATGCATGGCGAGGTCGTGACATGGCCCAAGTTCCTCGGCTTGCCCGCTCGCTGGCACGCACGGGCATCGGCGTGAAGAACCGAAACTACAGAGCACACGCCTCGTGCAACCCGACGTGCGACGAGTGGTCGACCTTCCTCGCGCAGGACCCGCTCCTGGGCGGCTTGGCAGCCGCTCGCACGACCATCCCTCTCTGCCACAACTTGAAGCCCGACAGGCTCACGGACTTGGGAAACACCTCGGACTACGCCATCCCTGATGCGGTGCACATGTCTAAGGAGGACCTTCGTGGTGGCCAGTCGGACTTCAAGATGACAATCAAGGCCCTTCGCCGCACGAAGATTGGCAAGTTCGCGCCGTCCTGGTCAGCTCCCTCGGAGATTTTCAAGATGATCGTGGACCCAGGATGGCCCAGCAGTCCGACCTTGTATGCTCGCCTGCCTTGGGGAGTGGGAGCCCGACGGCCGCTTGTGATGGAAGAAGAACCTCGAGCGCCTGATCCCTATGCGCGCCTGCAGCTTCGCCACCTTGAGGCATTGGGAGAAGGGCGACATCGCTTGTACCGTCTTGTCCTACATGCACGACGCATTGGACTTCTACCCGTGCAGGCGTCTCTTTCGTATGGATCTGCCCCAGATAAGCGAAATGGGAAGGCGGGAGCGGCAGGCAGACGGCTGGTGCACGTCATGCGCCCTTTCTGGCGAGCAGTGATGAGGGGAGGACTTCTCCGTGGGAGCACTTTCCGACCGCCGGCGTGGGCTTTCGCTGCTCGAGGCAGGCGAAGGGAGCACTTGATGATGGCGACGAAGATCGCGGCGTGGAAGGGGCACCACTCAGGACAGCACATGCTCCACAAGAGCTACGACGCCACGAACGCATTCGGGCGCGGCCGCAAGGGGGACCTAGAGCGCTCCGTCAGGGACCGCTTGGAGGAGGACGAGGAGATCAAGGACCAGGACCTTAACTATGTGACGGCGGTCTCCCGTCAGCGACGTATGGCGCTCACCGTCGTCATTCCAGCTGCCGACGGCGAGGTGGCCCTGAGGAGCGGGTCAGGAGGGTTCATGGGGGACACATCGGAACCAGAGATTTTCATGAGTAACTACCACATCGCAGTGACGAAGTGGGCCGAAGTGGAGACGGCTCGCTCTAACGGTGCGATGCTCATCAGGATGCAGAACTTGCCCGAGGTCGACGCAAGCCTGGGATGTTTTATGGACGACATCTTCAAGACCCAGCTTCTGTCGGCGCCCCAGTCCGCGTCGGAGGTGATCCGCCTCTCGCTGCGCAGCGACCAGGGCTTGGACCAGGCTCTCCTGGAGAGGGCCTACGGCCAGAACAGGGCCAAGCAGGATGTGGTGCCTGCTTTTCCTTCGAGGCAGCTGGTACGTCGTACGATTACGGAGCTTAACCGCAGCGGCTGCCGCAGCAGCTACGAGTTGAAGCACCTGGGCGCCTGGTTCAACGCGGTGAACAGCAACAGTAACGAGCTCAGGGCACGGCTGGCTGCGATTACGAAAGGATGGATGATGGTGCAGGGGTTATGGTACTCGTCGTCGCCTCTACGAGTCAAGCGCTTGATGTTCATATCCTTGGTGAGCGGCGCGGCCCTCTCGGGCACGGTGGCATTTTGCTGGACGGCTGCGGAGACCAAGCAGTTGCGCGGTGCATTGGCTTGCAAGCTACGTTCCATGATGGGAGGTACGGCTAAGGCGGGAACATCACACATCACGACGCTTACCACGCGTGAGGTATATAGGCATTGGAATCTTGTGCCCTTTGCATTGGAGGCTACAGTTCAAAGGCTGAAGGCATGGCAGGCGATTGCGAGAGCGCCTCGGAACCATGCCCACTTGCTGGCCATCTTTTACGGCGAGATGCAGTGGGAGGCCACCAGCGCCTACCGCTGCCCACCCACGCTGCTTGAGGACGGCCGCTTCAACGACACGACGCTGGTCCACCCTTGGGCGCGTCAGCTCCGACAGGACTTGGAGGTGATGTGCAGCACACTTGAAGCGGAGTCATTCGCCGAGGTGTGGGGGTTCGGCTCCATGCTGGACCTGCTGTGGGACGAGGAGGTGAACTACATCTTCATCTCGTTCGATCCACGGTGCCTGCGCAGCGCCTTTGCTGCAGCGCAGTGGGCACCGCCACCTTGCCTGGCAGACACTGTGCCAGCCGCCCAGGACGATCAGCAGACTTGGGAAAAAGGAGAAGCGGACGTCTTTGTTTGCACGATCAGAGCCAATCCAGCTGACCCGATTTGCGGGCAGAGTTTTCGCACGCGCGCAGCGCTTGTAGCACATGTATGTCAGTCTCGACAACCAGGGCATGGGGGACATAGCTTATTCAATATTCTAACGCCTAGCAATGCATGCATCAACTGCAACACGGTCTTTCAGAGCAGGGGGGAGGCGGTGAGGCACTTGGCACGGTCATGGCACGCTGGGAGGTGTATCAAACACAATACGGCGTACCCGTGCACGCACCACCCGCCTACTACGCACGTGTGCGCGCTGTGCCAGTCCTCGTTCATGACCTACGAGAACCTCCGTATCCACTTGTGTTCGCACCTGCCGCCGACGCAGGGGGGCAGATCCATCTCAGTCGTCACACCGAGACCTGTACCGTCCAGACCAAGGCCGAGGGCGAAGAGGCCCGCGGCGCCTGCCTCAGGACCACGTCTGAGAGGCAGTGAGATTCGCACAGTCGAGCGCTTGTTTGTCAGCAGCAACACCCTTCTACCCCATGGAGGTGGAGAAGTTAGGGAGGTGGCGCCCACGCAAGGGGGGCTCCTTGGCCCCGTCGCCGACTGGTGGGCAGGCGTCCAACGGCGGAGACGAGAGTCAGCAACGCAAGGGAGCTCGAACCGAGGGAGGAGCACGACTCCAACGTGGCGGCGGAGGCAACGAGGGCTCGGGGACCAAGCCGAAGACCCGACGCGGCGGTCGGAGGCGAGCCGAGCAGAAGGACCGCAGGTTGAACACCAAGGACGCTGGCCTTCGAGAGATTCTACTACTGTTGAGCATGCAAGTGGCTCAGCTCGCCCAGAAATCGCGGGCGCTATGGGGGATCGCTACCAGGACCATCTTGATCGAAGAAGAGAGCAGCGTGGTGAAGGCCATCCAGCAGGAGTCGAAGGACTTCTCGGACCACGCGGCGAACCTTCGCACGCAGATAGGCAAGTGCAAGGAGGGCGCCAAGAAGGCGAGCGGCTCCGACGCGGGGGCCGAGAAGGAGGCGGCGACGAAGGCCGAGGAGATCCAGAAGGAGCTGCGCACGCTGGGGCCCCCTGCCCCAGCTCTCTTCGCGGCGCTCGTCGAGAGCCTGGCGACCGAGGAGGTGGGGGCGGTCAACCGCAGGGCGTTGGAGGCGATGAAGCAGGAGTTCGTCGAGGCCCCGCCCATGGGCGTTCGCCTGTGCAGGCTGGAGAGCTGCAAGGACGAGGACATGATCAAGATCGTGCTGGCTCTCGACGACAAGGCCAAGGAGGGGGCGATTACAGCCTCGCTGCACGCGATGGGAGCTCAGGTGACGAGCGGCATAGCCCCCTCGGGCTACATGGAGGACGAGATCAGCGCTTGGATCGACGCGCTGAAGGCGGCTTGAGCCCTGCCCGTGAGCTCCTCGGCAGCTTCGCCGCCCTGGGCCCAGGCGTTGATGGGGTCGTGTCGCTGTCGTCCGAGTCTGGGGAGGAGGAGGGATGTATGTAGAGCCTAGTCCCCCCCTACTGCCCCCGCGGCATCGCAGTACTCGCGGTGTTCTGACGGGGCTATCGCGGGGGCAGTGGGGGGGACGAGGACGGCCTGCGCTTCCTCTGTAGACGCCGACGCGGAGTCGGCAATTCTCCGAAGCCACTGGCCGTCTCGGTGGGTGAGTTTCTCTGGACCGATGTGCACGCACTGCCTCGGAGCCATCGAGCTTCGGGATGCGCAGCCGTGCGCACCTGGCATAGTAGCAGCACCAGCAGGGTGCGGACGGCGGACATGTGAATTCTTCTAGCAGTTTTACTCTGTGACGGGTTGCTCAGCTCGCGTGCGGTGTGTTGTCAGTCACCATGTGCACGAGTGCTGATGCGCATACGCGTTAGATGTTTCTAGCGAGCATTGGAGTATTGTGTGATCTTGTCCAGCAGCCGCGTGCAAGCAAGCAAGCAAGCAAGCTCCTCCTCCTCCTCCTCCTCCTCCTCCTCCCCCTCCTCCTCCTCCTCCTCCTCCTCCTCCTCCTCCTCCTCGTCCTCCTCGTCCCGCGCCGTGGGGGGGCCCGCGGCCCGGCCCTCCCGTGCAGTGATCGGGCGGGCACGGGCACGAGGCTGTGCGGGGCGCTGTCGGGGGCGGCGCCGGAGGCGCCGCCGGGGGGGGCCCCAGCGCCGATCCGAGAAGTCCGCGCGGACCTCCTCCTCCTCCTCCTCCTCCCCCTCCTCCTCCTCCTCCTCCTCCTCCTCCTCCTCCTCCTCCTCCTCCTCCTCCTCCTCCTCGTCCCTCCTCCTCCTCCCTCCTCGTCCTCCGCCTCCTCCTCCTCCTCCTCCTCCTCGTCCTCCTCATCCGAGAAATCCGCGCGGACCTCCGTTTTTATATGTTTATGTCACTTGTTGTCCCCCTCATCGAGCCGCATCGGCGAGGTGGCGAGGGCCTCCGACCCCGCCTGCCCGGATCCCATATGTTGGGTGTCCGGGCAATGCTTGTGCCAGCCGCCCGTGGCACAGAAAAGACTGGGCAGGGGCACGGGCACGAGGTTGTGCGGGGCGCTGCCAGACACTCCTCCTCCTCCTCCTCCTCCTCCTCCTCCTCCTCCTCCTCCTTCTCCTCCTCCTCCTCCTCCTCCTCCTCCTCCTCCTCCTCCTCCTCCCTCCTCCTCCTCCTCCTCCCTCCTCGTCCTCCTCGCCCCTCGCCCCCTCGCTCCCTCCTCCTCCTCCTCCTCCTCCCCTCCTCCTCCTCCTCCTCCTCCTCCTCCTCCTTTTCCTCCTCCTCCTCCTCCTCGCCTCCTCCTCCTCCTCTCTCCCTCCTCCTCCTCCTCCTCCTCCTCCTCCTCCTCCTCCCTCCTCCTCCTCCTCCTCCTCCTCCTCCTCCTCCTCCTCCGGGCTTCTAAGTATCAAGGGTTGAGTCTTGCTTGTCCCTTTACAGGGGGGATATTCAAAAATAGCCAAAAAATAGTCTGGGGACGATCTTTTGACAACTTCTAAATTTAGTTGGGCATTTTTTTGATTTTTCGTCCAAAATCCCCCTGTAGGGGGACACGCCCGACCTAATGCCAGACAATTGGCATCGCTCGGACTTGTGCGTTTCTGCCTCGGCGGGGTCCATGGAGGAGCCTCCTGGAGCATCGCGCCAGCAAAAATACGCACGACCCCCCCCCCTCAAAAAATATGCACGGGGAAGGGACGTCCGAGCGACGGCAAGGGCGGGGCACCGCCCTCGAGGCCCCGAAGGGGCTGGCACATCCCTCCTCCTCGGCGGATGGGCGGCGGAAGTTCGGCGCGCCCGCGGAAGCAAGAAACGAGGGCGGCGCTATCAGCGGAAGGCCGGCGGAGGCAGAACATGCATGGCCCAGACGCTAGGCTTACGTCGGGCCTGTCCCTCTACGGGAGGAAGATTCCAACGTAGACAAACAATAGTCAGGGGACGATGTCTTCACAATTTTTGAATATGTTGTGAGTATGTTTGGGACATTTTTTTTATTTGTCGTCCAAACTCCGCCTGTAGGGGGACAGGCCCGACCTAACTCTAGGCCTCCTAGCTGGGGTCGGAGTGGATGGAGTCGGAGGATCGTGCCGCATCGCCCATGCATCGACGATGCGGCGCGACGCGGGGCCCGGTTTTCTCCACGCTGATGTCGCCGAGGCACCGCCGACGTCGACGCCTCGTCGCAGTCATTCGCTGATGTATCGCCGATGTATCGGCTAATGCGGCGCGGTCCTCCGACCCCATCTGCTCTGACCCCGTCCAGGAGGCCTCGAGAGACCGACCAGCCGTAAGAGTGACCTTGCGCCGGAGTGGCCCTTGGTGCGGGCCCACTGGCGTCCCCCGATCG